AAACCTCTTCCTGATGTTTAGTCGGAATCTCCTTTCTTGTAACTTGAAGCCACTGGTTCGAGTCCTACCCTCCGGAGCAGTAGAAAACAAGCTCGCTCCATCTTCCATGTGACAGCCCTTGAAATATTTGAGGATGGCTATCATATCTCCTCTGTGTCTCCTCTTTTCCAGGCTAAACATACCCAGCTCCTTCATGCTTTCTTCCTAAGGCCTGGTTTCCATTCAGCTGGTTTATACCTGAATCATTGGGTTTTTGACATGCAAGATAAACATAAATAGACTTCCTAAATATAGTGGTACCTTGGGTTAAGAACTTAATTCATTCCGGAGGTCTGTTCTTAATCTGAAACTGTTCTTAACCTGAGGTACTACTTTAGCTAATGGGGCCTCCCGCTGTTCTCATCCTGAAGCAAAGTTCTTAACCCGAGGTACTATTTCTGGGTTAGCAGAGTCTGTAACCTGAAGCGTCTGTAACCCAAGGTACAACTGTAAAGCCAAGGCTAATTTTAGGAATGTAGAGGTGGTTTGATATAATCTTTGCCACTCTGTCAACAGATGTGCTTTTTTCCCTTGCACTGGTTTTCCCTTGCACTGGTTTCTTGAAACCAGAGAAGTCAGCTGAGGTGGGCACATATTGACTAGTGTGCACATTTGATTCAAAACCTCCGTCACCCTCAATCTCAGTGCCCCAAGTTGAAAAGTGGAATAGTTTTTGGACTTCTTGTTTTCCTCAGTACTACTGCAATGGCAGCAGTGCTACTCCCAACATCACCAGATCAGTAAGTAAACGTAAGGGGGATGTTTGGGGCGAGTGGATGAGTGGTGGTAAGCCAAAGGATGCCATCAGTTCCTCTGTGGCTTGTACAGTATTATAATCCAAGTTAAACAACAACTATAACCTAGGGGCTTTAAAAACTTGCCTCTTATTGGGGTGGGCTTGTACCAGCCCCCAAAAGTAAGGCTCAGAGAGGTTTGCTGGTCTCATCTCTTGACAAAAGTTAACCAGTTTAAATACTGTAACTCGAGGGGTAGCCACAAGAGGGGGGCGATTGACCAACACAAGCCTCTTTGAAAATAATAGAAACAATACCCCCATAAAAAAGAAACCAAATATCATCACAAATATGGCCTTTAAAATGTCACAAAAGGGGAGGAACAGGGCGGGGCCGAGTCAGAACCGGGTGCTTGCGAGCTTTTTCAATGGCATTTCAAATATACAGTGGTACCTTGGTTTAAGAACAGCTTAGTTTATGAACAACTTGGATTAAGAACGCTGCAAACCTGGAAGCAGGTGTTTTGGTTTGTGAACTTTGCCTCGGAAGCAGAACATGTTCCGCTTCCTGTTGAGTATAAATTGAGTACCTGCTATGGGAAAGCACGCCTTGGTTTAAGAATGCTTTGGTTTAAGAATGGACTTCCGGAACGGATTAAGTTCGTAAACCAAGGTACCACTGTAGGTGATTTCACTTAAACGTGTGGTGACTTGGAACGTAACCCCAGCATAAATTGGAAGTTGCCTGTACTGAATTGTATATACTGGCCAGAAATCTGTTTGTGATTCCAACACCAAGTTCAAAACAGAGCTCTTGCAGCTGCACAAATACTAAAGCAGGTCACAGATTTATACAACACAGCTTCTTTTGCTTTAGAAGTCTACTCCCAGCTAATTGCCCTTCCCCATCTCCCGGCTTGCTTGGGAGACAATAGAAACTTCTTTTTGCCGGCCTCTTATAGGCAGCTCAAGCCACACCCATTTCCTATACCATGCCACCTTCCTACACATGAGTAGGCTTTTTCTCAAGCAGGTTGTAGTCACTAACCCTGGCCAGTCCCATGCCTGGGGCCAAGCTGCTGGCAGTCTCATGCTCCACTTCTCCAGGTCTGGCTGATGCTAAGATTGACAACCATCTGTTGTCTCAATGGCAGTGTTGGTGATCTTGCCACAGTTTATCCTTTAATTCAATTACCTCATTTTCTTCACCTTCTCCCCCAGCATCCTAAAACTGTGGTGCAATGGGGGCTATCCCTGCACACATTAGTATACAATATTAATGAATGGTGAATTATTATTATTAATTATTATTATTATTATTATTACCTCAGTGTTGCCCACCCTTCACCATAAGCTTTCCCATCCAGGTTACAGCAATTTGAAAATAGGTAAAGATAAAGGGACCTCTGACCATTAGGTCCAGGCGTGACTGACTCTGAGGTTGCGGCACTCATCTTTCTTTATTGGCCGAGGGAGCCGGCGTACAGCTCAGGGTCATGTGGCCGGCATGACTAAGCTGCTTCTGGCGAACCAGAGCAGCGCATGGAAACGCCATTTACCTTCCCGCCAGAGCGGTACCTATTTATCTACTTGCACTTTGAGGTGCTTTTGAACTGCTAGGTTGGCAGGAGCAGGGACCGAGCAACGGGAGCTCACCCCGTCACGGGGAGTCGAACTGCCGACCTTTTGATCGGCAAGTCCTAGGCTCTGTGGTTTAACCCACAGCGCCACCCGCGTCCCCAAAAATTTAGCCTTATCCTCCATCAATTTGTCTAATCCTCTTCTAAAGCCATCCAAGTTGGTGGCCCTCACTTGTGGAAATGAATTCCATTGTTTAACTGTGCACTATCTTCTGTCTGTCCTGAATCTTCCAACATTCAGCTTCAGTGTCATGAGCGAGGGGAAAAAATTGTTTGATCTGGCTGTTTGGCAGAGGAAGGGGAACACAGAGCGGGACTGAATCAACGCTTACTGTGGAGTTTTCTCCTGCACAGCTGATGGGCAGAAATGCAAGCTTTTTCTTCCTCCATTTTTAATTTGGCTACATATGGGGGGTGGGGTTTATTGGGTTGTTGTTTTTATTATGTATTTTGTGGTTCTATAAAAGGTAAAGGTAAAGGGAACCCTGACCATTAGGTCCAGTCGTGACCGACTCTGGGGTTGCGGCGCTCATCTCGCTTTATTGGCCGAGGGAGCCAGCGTACAGCTTCAGGGTCACGTGGCCAGCATGACTAAGCTGCTTCTGGCGAACCAGAGCAGCGCACAGAAACACCGTTTACCTTCCCACTGGAGCGGTACCTATTTATCTACTTGCACTTTGTGCTTTCTAACTGCTAGGTTGGCAGGAGCAGGGACCGAGCAACGGGAGCTCACCCCGTCGCAGGGATTTGAACTACCAACCTTCTGATCGGCAAGTCCTAGGCTCTGTGGTTTAACCCACAGCGCCACCCGCGTCCCATCTTGTGGTTCTAGATCTTGATTTTATTCTGTGAACCGCCCTGAGACCCGAGTATAGGACGGTATATAAATTCTAACAACAACAACATGCATGACTTCTGGACTAGACTGGGAGTTGCGCACGTCACATCTATCTACTTTTACAGTTTCCCGTTGAGGTTGATGTGTGTGTGTTTGGCTGCCATTTTCCGAACCTTTCCTAACTACAATATCCATTGCGTCAACGCTCTTAACAGCCCTACTGTGGGTGGAGAGGGCTGAGAAAACACTTCTCCCCTGCAAGTCGCAAGCCTTCCTCTCCAGGTCTGTGCCCTGCCCCAGATATTATGGGGTTTTTCCCCCTGCCACGAGCGACCAGCCCGACCGCATACCATGCGACACAGGTTTTATTGGGCCTTTTGCGCAAGCCGGGTGGCGGCTCAGGGTGCACCCGCTTCCTACAGAAGTCCTACTCCTTGCAAAGAGGACCCTCCAGGGCAGTGGCGTAGTGTGGGGGGTGCCGGGGGGGCCGGCCGCACCGGGCGCAACATCTGGGGGTTAGGGTTAGGGGGCGCAAATCCACGGGTTAGGGGGCGCAAATTCACGGGTTAGGGGGCACAAATTATTTGCATTGCCCCGGGTGCTGACAACCCACGCTACGCCACTGCTCCAGGGACAAGGAAGCTTGCAACATGCTGAAATGTCAGGTTATTTAAGGAACACCTTTGCGCTTGTTTGTTTCTTGTCCCAACTGAAGCGTGCGTAGGACTGCAGCCTCGCTGAATTATCCCTGCTATGGAAGGGCGGGTGCCTGCCCGCTCGGAAAGAAAATACAGTAAATATTTGCCAAAACACGCCGTTGCAAGCAGGGGCGGCGCCCCTGATGCAGCCCTCTCTCCCTCTCTGCAGGTATAAAATAAAATAAAAATAGACAATAATAAAATAAAATAACGCGGCTAAGGACCTCGATCGCTTCTGCAAAGGCAGCGAGGAGAGTAGACCCCAAAGACACAGGGAGCGGCCATCTTGGGCAAGGGCAAAGGCAACCCCCTTCCCTTCCTCTCGCAAAGCATTGTGGGAGGGCTATTAATTGCGGCTTTGGCGCTTAAGGCTAAGGGGCGGGTGCGGGGAGAAGTAGGGGGAAGAAGCACCAAAGAGGTACGAAAAGTAGAGACAGCAACTGGTGCTGCCTGAGATGGAACTTCTTGGTTCGTTTAAATTTAATTTTTATTATTACTATTATTATTATTATTATTATTATCATCATTATTATTATTACTATTATTATTATTATTACTATTATTATTTTATTGTTACACATTTGTTCATTTATTCATACCCCGCATTTTCCCCTGGCGTAATACACACACACACACACACACACACACACACACACACATTATATACATTATATATACAGTAATGTAATATTAAGACCTTATTCATGGAAGGCAATCTTACTCGGCTACGAGCGACGATATAAAATATATCATATATATAATTCTATATAATATAGCACAGCATGTTGATCTATAGTAATACAATTTTTTAAAAAAACAAATGTGCAATATGTTATAAAATAATACATGCATTCTACACGATATAATAATACATATGCCATTGTTGTCTGCTTCCGACTGTCTCAGGAGACCATGAAGGGGGTGAAGTCAACCCGTTGGAGATTTATAGTTTTTATCAACGCAATGCAACCCGGAACTTGGCTTCGTAGGTGTACCCGGAAGTTAGCTCGGCACGTGTGAGTCTACTGACTTGTAAGTTTATAGAGAAAACGCGGAAGCAAAGGGAACAGTAGATAGATATATATTTAAAGTAGAACCGGACATTGAATGATGAAACCACTGCTGCGACCGAGGTAATTTCAAATCTTATGATGATGATGATTATTATTATTACCGCAGCGCCCTGCAAAAGGCGAGAGATTCGATTGCCCCGCCCTGCGCGCTGCGCCCGATCCTGTCCGCGCGCATCTGCCCGGAGGTTTCCAAAGGGCTGCTGGGCGGAAAGCGCAGCGCCGCCGCCGCCCCAGTAGAACCCCGGCGGGGCAATCCCGGCTCTTCCAGGGGTTCCCTCTCCCGACGCGCGGCTGCTGTTATGGGCTTCATTCCGCCGAGGCTTACTCCCGAGTAAAACCACAAAGGAGAAGCGTGCCTGATCAGGATTCTGGACCACCCCCATCCCAGCCCCGAACTCGCTTTCCTGGAAGCAACCCCCGCTGGGTTCGCTTAGGATTGCAGACCTTTCCCAAGTGTCCCTTATTTTAAAGGGACGCCCCTAATTTAGAGAAGCCGTCCCGGTTTCTGATTTGATCCCAGTTAAGATCAGTGCTTTTTCCACCCCCTAGAAAACGGGGGTGCAGGAACTCCCACCGCCGCTTTTTTGGGACGGACAACCCTAAGTCGTTGAGCTTCTTTGAAAAGGATGCGAAAGTGGTTGGGCTATTTTTTAGAGAGCCATCAAAGTGGTTGGGCCATTTTTTAGGGAGCTATCAAAGTGGTTGGGCTATTTTTTAGGGAGCCATCAAAGTGGTTGGGCTGTTTTTTAGGGAGCCATCAAAGTGGTTGGGCTGTTTTTTAGGGAGCCATCAAAGTGGTTGGGCTATTTTTTAGGGAGCCATCAAAGTGGTTGGGATTTTTTTTAGGGAGTCGCCAAAAACACACATCGCGTCACGCCTCCCTTATAGAGCTTCTTTCGGAAGAGAAGAGAATCGCTGAAAAAAGCGTGCAACGTGTCAACTCCCGATCCATCCAAATCTCCCCACCCAGAAAATGCGCCGCCCACAGCACCAGGATGATTGTGGCCACAGAGAGGGTCTGCCGGAACGCTCAGGAGAGGTGATGGAACCCTCAGGGCAGGTTCCGGAACAAAGTCCCGGAGTGTTCCTGCTGAAAAAAAAGCCATGCCTAGGATGTCCTTATTTTCATTGGAGAAATGTTGGAGGGTATGGAGTTATCCATGGGACATGGGTGGCGCTGTGGGTTAAACCACTGAGCTGATCAGAAGGTCGGCAGTTAGAATCCCCGCGATGGGGTGAGCTCCTGTTGCTCGGTCCCTGCTCCTGCCAACCTAGCAGTTCAAAAGCACGTCAAAGTGCAAGTAGATAAATAGGTACCACTCCGGCGGGAAGGTAAACGGTGTTTCCGTGCGCTGCTCTGGTTCACCAGAAGCGGCTTAGTCATGCTGGCCACATGAGCTGGAAGCTGTACGCTGGCTCCCTCAGCCAATAAAGCAAGATGAGCGCCGCAACCCCAGAGTCGGTCATGACTGGACCTAATGGTCAAGGGTCCCTTTACCTTTATGGAGTTATCCGACCCCCTCCAAGCCATCTGAAGGCAATCTTGCATAGGGAAGTGTGTCTTTTTAAATGTTTAATTATGTTTTTACATATATTGGAAGCTGCCCAGAGTGACTGGGGCAACCCAGTAAGATGTGTGGGGTATAAATACAGTGGTACCTCTGCTTACGTACTTAATTCGTTCCGGAGGTCCGTTCCTAACCTGAAACTGTTCTTAACCTGAAGCACCACTTTAGCTAATGGGGCCTCCTGCTTCCGCTGTGCCGCCAGAGCACGATTTCTGTTCTCATCCTGAACCAAAGTTCTTAACCTGAGGTAATATTTCTGGGTTAGCGGAGTCTGTAACCTGAAGCGTATGTAACCTGAGGTACCACTGTACACACAAGTAATTCTACTTATATTATCTTTAGCATATTTAACTAAACAATCCTTAAATTTCTTCCATTCATCTTGGTACTCCTCTTTCTGGTCGTGGATTTTGATGGATCTCTCTCTCTTTTCCTGATTCCCCTTCCTCTAAAGCGGTGGCTTGAAACTTCATAGAGGCTTTCCTGCCCTGCAGAGATGAGCGCAGATAAGGACGGACAGCTTTGCAGGCCTCCGGATGGGAGAAAGACTGTCCTCGCTGCTGCTGAGGGAAATGAGAACAAACCGACTGGGCCAAAACCAGTTCCGGAAAGGCAGGTTTGCACCAGCCCCGGCATTGCAACTCTTACAGACAATACTAAGCGATTTAAGCTGAGTAGCAGCCAGGCCACCCAAGAAAGGTAAGTGCTTTCGTTAATCGCGGATTACTAGACGGTGACTTATGTGAGTTTAAAAATAAAGCTGAGGATTTGCTTATGTTTCTGTTTGATCAAATCGATTCGTGTGTTACCGCTTTGGGTAACATCTAAGCTGCATTATTTGTCATAGTAAAAGGTGGTAAGATTCAGAGATGAGAAATACACATATCCGTTCCCTTTGCCAGCTGCCCCTACACACACACACACTGAGGAACATTTCGAATAGTTCACATACAAGCTTTGTAGTTGAATTCCTTCCCCTCCTCTCTGTAAAATGCCGGTGCAGAGAGAATAAAGTCCCGTTTGTCTGACTGGCTCCCACAAACACACATGCACTTCATAAATAGCGAAACTGCAAATAATCTTGATCATTTGATTTCTGGTTGTGTTGCACCCAGCAAGAGTAAATTCTGCTTTGTGTATGATCAGTTTCCTATTTTTAAAAAATCACTTGTGCGCATGCCATCTGTTTTGCTGTGCGTAGGCAAGATGTGAGACATTGTTCTGATGGTCTTTTGTAATTAAATTAGCACATATGTCAGCCTCATTACATACAATTACATGGATGTTCGGGGAAACACAAATTCCTACACAGGAGTGCTTACTTCACCATATATAAAATATTGGGAAGGAGCTACAGTTGTCAGCATTCCCTAGGAATAATAATTTATAATAATAATAATTTATTATTTATACTCCGCCCATCTGGCTGAGTTTCCCCAGCCACTCTGGGCGGCTTCCAATCAAGTGTTAAAAACAATACAGCATTAAATATTTAAAACTTCCCTAAACAGGGCTGCCTTCAGATGTCTCTTAAAGATAAGATAGCTGCTTATTTCCTTCACATCTGAAGGGAGGGCGTTCCACAGGGCGGGTGCCACTACCGAAAAGGCCCTCTGCCTGGTTCCCTGTAACCTCACTTCTCGCAATGAGGGAACCTCCAGAAGGCCCTCGGCGCTGGATCTCAGTGTCCGGGCTGAACGATGGGGGTGGAGACACTCCTTCAGGTATACTGGGCCAAGGCCGTTTAGGGCTTTAAAGGTCAGCACCAACACTTTGAATTGTGCTTGGAAATGTACTGGGAGCCAATGCAGATCTCTCAGGACTGGTGTTATGTGGTTCTGGCGGCCACTCCCAGTCACCAGTCTAGCTGCCGCATTCTGGATTAATTGCAGTTTCCGGGTCACCTTCAAAGGTAGCCCCACGTAGAGTGCATTGCAGTAGTCCAAGCAGGAGATAACTAGAGCATGCACCACTCTGGCAAGACAGTCCGCAGGCACGTAGGGTCTCAGCCTGCGTACCAGGTGGAGCTGGTAGACAGCCGCCCTGGACACAGAATTAACCTGCGACTCCATGGACAGCTGTGAGTCCAAAGAGAGATTTGCTGCTAAACCACTGTGCCAATTGTAGGTCTCTTAGTTAAATAGGGGTCTCCTAACAACTTTCAGGACATTTAACAAACTACAGCTCCCAGGAGAGCAGAGCCATTAAAAGTGGTATGATAATGTCTTTAAATATGCCATGCAGATGCAGCCATTTTTCCCTTGACTGTTGATTAACTTTCAAGGAGAGATGATGCAAAGATGTTTTGTAGGCACAGAGAGAATGTGAACATTTGAGGTGGGAAAATTGCTAGGATAATTAATTAAAAAATATGGGGTGAATGGAGGTTTGGTTTCTAAAATACTGAGATTATTGGCTGGGCACTTTCTGTAAAAATGTGATCAGCACGCTTATCGTGCAAGGACAATTCTCATGCAGCTGGGATTGGTTGCAGATCCCTCTTGGGTTTATGCTCAATGGCAAGCTTGGGTTTTCTGCTCTGTAACTTGCGAAGAAACAGCTCTTCCTGGAATATTGAAGATGCCCATTTTCTTTGCTTCAGGAAGCAAACTTTTACCACTTGTAGTTAGTGAGTTAATTTTGCATATGCCGAAAGATAAGAGAAACGGGAATATATGTGAAAAACAAGCCCACATTAATTACGGTTTACATTGTCTGGTTTTGGACTTTAAGGGGCTGATACAAATGAGTACTGATTTCATTATAAGAATATTGCAGACTAAATGCTGTGTCTACATCTGGGAGTTAAGACCACATGCAAGTTCAGTTAATTATGTGAAATGATGATCTTCAAATTAGGCTTGCTCGATCCATTATTCAGACACCCCATCCAATGTTGCTTCATGTCTCATTTGGACTATTTGAACTGTGTAAGAGTGAATAAGCTTTTAAGCCTCACAGAGGCTTTTCATATATTTTTCTCATAGCCCTGGGATGTCACAGCCAATGGCGAGGAAGGCAACTGGTCCTTCCGTTACCGCAGAAGAGAAGCGGAAAAAAAGTATTTTTGGTATACAGTTTTCTAAAAACAAAAAGGAAAAATGCACTCCTCATGACAAAATGTCTTCCGTAAGTTCAAGCATGAGCTACAAAGGGAGCCCTGCGTTGACCGTCAAAGAAGATGGCGGCAATTGTACAAAGAGGACCCAGACAGAGGTCTCAAAAGTATCTCGACCCCACCAAGATAATTCTCACAAAAGTAAAGAAAACCTGCCTGCCTCGCTCATCACTTCCCCAATGGAATCGTCTGTAGACTAGTGAGTTTTTGTCATTAAAGTTTTGCTGAAGAAGCCTTTTCAGACCTGTGATTTGACTTTACCATATTTTTCCAGATGCTAAATAGGTAATAGAAGTTATTTTATTGGAAGAATGGGCAAGTTTCCATGTGCGATAGGTTCGTTCTTCAGACAAATGCAAAACGTGGTCCTTGCAAACTGTGTTTTGCGAATAGAAAGTTTGCTTGGAAAAACATGGGCTTTTCCCTTCCTTTTCTAGCACAAATCTTCTCTTTTGCATGGTCTGCCTTAACTACCCTTTGATATTTACTTCTGCACCAGCACTAACCATGGTTAAGGCTAACCCGGTTGCTGCTTTAATCTAGAATTGCTAGGCCATTTCAAGCTTTGCTTTCAAATCCTGATCACAATTTCAACCTCAGTTTACCTGTTCTTTCAAAGTGTTTCTTTGTATTGGGGGACCAATGGGTAAACCCATTTATTTTCAGCAAATCTTCCTGTTTGGTGTGTTGATACTGATTTCACCTTGCAATCACCATGGTAAGTATTCTGGTGCCTGTAGAAAATAAGTAACTGCAGGATAAAGAACCCAACCTGAAATTCTGATTTGATCCTTTGTTTGGGAAACAAGACGTTCTGATTACCCAGCCTCTCTTTCTAGGCCAAATCTTACAAGCCTATGTACAAAACCTCTCAAATATTCCTAGTAAAAGATAAAGTAGTATATTAAAATGTAAAACAACTAAAAGGGGGCTTAAGTATTTTCCATTGTTTGGTGGCCAATATTACCGCAGAGGTTAGAAATCTGATGTAACGAAAACTTCTGCCCATGTAGAATCCAGTTGGGCATTTGAGATGCTAAATAGGTACTGCTGCTGCAGGAAAGTAAACGGCGTTTCCGTGCGCTGCTCTGGTTTCACCAGAGGCGGCTTAGTCATGCTGGCCACATGACCCGGAAAAACTGTCTGAGGACAAATGCCGGCTCCCTTGGCCAGTAAAGCGAGATGAGCGCCGCAACCCCAGAGCCGTTCGTGACTGGACTGAACTGTCAGGGGTCCTTTACCTTTACCTTTAGGTGAATAGCAAACAGAGTAACCATTTGAGCAGAAGCAGTTCAAGTATAGACTTGTCCAGTCACAAAAACAATAGCAAGTTTCCTCATACCCCCAAACGGATTGTTAATACCCCTCACTGAAGAAATGTACAAAAATTAAGCTTCACCCCCTAAAATGGCACAACCTAGTACCTCAGGCAGAACAATTGGCACCTTTTTAGAGCAACGTTGTACTCATTTCGCTTCCAGGGTGTGGAAAGACCAAGGGGTCGAGCCCTATGTGCAGGAAGCTGGCGAAAAGCAAGCTGGTGTAAGTTAAAGTCAGCATAAAGTTACACAACTCTAGTTCCATTCAGCAGTGGAGCTGCTGCTTGTCTGCCTACACCTGGCAGAAAGGGAAACAAGCCTTTAAAATACAGTGGTACCTTGGTTCTCAAACTTAATCCATTCCAGAAGTCCGTTCCAAAACCAAAGCGTTCCAAAACCGAGGTGCGCTTTCCCATAGAATGTAATGCAAAATGGATTAATCCGTTCCAGATTTTTAAAAATAACCCTTAAAACATTAATTTTACTATTTTAACGAGGCCATTGATCCATAAAATGAAAGCAATAAACAATGTACTGCAGTCACACAATCAATTAGTAGCTGAACTGGGTTCCACACAGTCACAAAAACAAAACAAAAATGCCGCAAAAACGCAAAATAAGTAGCAAAAGCAGACAGACCTCAGCGTAACACTCAAAACAGAAGTGTGGCACTCAAGTCAGAAGCATAACATTCAAAACAGAGTATGTTCAGCTTCCGAAAAAAGTTCACAAACCAGAACATTTACTTCTGGGTTTGCAATGTTTGGGTTCCAAGTTGTTTGAGTACCAAGGCGTTTGAGAAACAAGATACCACTGTACCGCATTGCTGGCTTAATTTATGCTAGGTTGCCAGGACATATGACTGAGTTTGAACGGGTTTGGGATCCAACCTAAGTCCCCTCTCTCTTTAAGATCCACTGAACTTGGCTCAGCAAGGATGGGGGAGATGCTCTGTAGTTACAGCTGAGCCGAGGATGGGAAATGGAGATCCGCTGGATCCATTCATCCCAACAGATCTAGCTCCCATGGAAATTGCCCCCGTACTTGGCAGCTTGTTCAGGGCTTTTAAACAAATCAGATGAGGCGAACAAAATTCTGACAAAAGCATACAGTGTTTCCAACTGTCCAAGCCTTCTTTCGTTGAAAGGAGAGGTGTCATTTTAGAGGCCGAGGCTGTTGGACAAATAAGCCAAATACCAGGACCTAAAAGCTACCTTTGTTTTTCAAGTCTCTGTCCGTCACGGATTGCTGTCTTCTCCTGCCCAGTAGGATGACTTAGCATGCATTTTGATGGCGATGGTGTACCTGCTCCTCCAGCTTCCTTGCTGTTTGCTCCCCCGGCCACAGTAAGTACTTCTGAGATTAATTTTTGGGTCAGATTCCTTCGATAGCAACCTCTTTCTGGTGTTGGGACACTCTCCTTCAGAACAGCCACCACCTGAATTAGCCAAACTATCGGGTTGGATCCAGAGTCGCAGAAGCAAAAGAAAATCCCGCGGTGGCTTGATTCTCTGGAGTGTTGCACAAGCACCAGGAGCTACAAATTCCAGATGGGCTTAGCACAAGTATAGACCAGAGCTTGCGGAAGCTAGTGGATGCACATTGTTGTTGTTGTTTAGTTGTTTAGTTGTGTCCGACTCTTCGTGACCCCATGGACCAGAGCACGCCAGGCACTCCTGTCTTCCACTGCCTCCCGCAGTTTGGTCAAACTCATGCTGGTAGCTTCAAGAACACTATCCCACCATCTCGTCCTCTGTCGTCCCCTTCTCCTTGTGCCCTCCATCTTTCCCAACATCAGGGTCTTTTCCAGACAGTCTTCTCTTCTCATGAGGTGGCCAAAGTATTGGAGCCTCAGCTTCAGGATCTGTCCTTCCAGTGAGCACTCAGGGCTGATTTCCTTAAGAATGGAGAGGTTAGATCTTCTTGCAGTCCGTGGGACTCTCAAGAGTCTCCTCCAGCACCATAATTCAAAAGCATCAATTCTTCGGCGATCGGCCTTCTTTATGGTCCAGCTCTCGCTTCCATTCATTACTACTGGGAAAACTGTAGCTTTAACTATACGGATGTACATTGCTAGTTCTCTTTTCTTGTGTTAAGTTGGAAAAACTCTTTCTGCTCACAGAAAAGGGCTCCTGGAAGATCCGCTCTGGATCTAACCCAGGCTTCCTCAACCTTGGCCCTCCAGATGTTTTGAGACTACAGTTCCCATCATCCCTGACCACTGGTCCTGCTAGCTAGGGATCATGGGAGTTGTAGGCCAAAAACATCTGGAGGGCTAAGGTTGAGGAAGCCTGATCTATTGTATTTCTTCTTAATTTATATCCCACTTTTATTTATTTTATTCCATTCCATCGCAACTATTCAACCTCCCAAATTTTCAACACCTCTTGCGACGGTTTGACCCCTTTCCATTTTAACAGTACATATTCTACAAACACACCTTCCATATCTCCTGAGAATTATTTCTCCTGCGTATTCCCAGTCTTACCTCAATGGCTCATGTTAATTTATCATTAATAGCTGCAGTGAGGGGGGAAAGTATTTGTTCCCCTGCTAAATTTGCCCGCTTGCCCCCTGACGAAGACAGGGGATCAAATACTTATTTCACTCATTATAACGGACATCAATCTCTGACTTTTGTCTTCTGGGTTTCCAGGTTTTTTTCTGTTGTTATTCTGACTCTCACAGCTACAATAAACCTACCATTAAAATTATGGACTGGTCATTTCTTCGTCAGAGGGCAAACAGGCAAATTTAGCAGGGGATCAAATTCAACAACCTTGCCTAAAATAGCTCAACAACTTATGTGTCCGAATTTTCACTTTTTGAAATATGGCAGCTCTAACTATTGTCTCCAATTTCAATTTCAATTCAGCCACCTAAAAGCCTGAATAAACATGAATGTTTTTGAATTCCTCCTGAAAGTTAATAATGGTGGAGACAGATGTGGGGGACATTTCGCAACTTTAGGCGGGTACCTGAGTCTCTTGGGATGCGGGCCATAATGTGTCCTAGATGTGATGCCCTTGATGTGATGTAACCTTATGCTGATCGTCTTCAAATTAAGCCCCATATGAATTCAGAAGGATGTTACTCCCAAGTATCTGAACACAAGATTGCTGTTTTACATGTGTGGGTTTGTTTTTTGTTTTAATGTAGCAGAAGCTTTGTTAGACTGCTTTTTGAATATAATGTGATTTTTTTATTTCCCTTCTTTTATGATTCCAAAGGTTTTGCCATCACCAACAAAATGCATTCTAAATCTGGGAGGCAACAATCCGATACTGTTAGAGATCTTAAGATCTTAAGAAAAGGTGTGTCTTCATTATTACTTGCTTTTGACTTTTTTTGGAGTATTTGCAACTTTTAAAGTTTTTTCTTTTTTACTGTTACTCAAATGAATGTACAGTTGAAGCCCATTTGGTTGACTCCAACCAAGTCATTGTGTGAGCAGGTAGAATCCCATGAGCACTGAGGTCCAGCTCCGAGGGCCTTCTGGCAGTTCCCTCACTGCGAGAAGCGAGGGAACGGGGAACATTTTCCACCCTGTGGAACGCCCTCCCATCAATTGTCAAGGAAATAAGTAATTATGTAAACTTTAGAAGACATCTGAAGGCAGCCCTGTACAGTCATACCTTGGTTCTCGAATGGCTTAGTTGATGAACAAATTGGCTCCCAAACGCCGCAAACCCGGAAGTAAGTTTGCGAATGTTTTTCAGAAGCCGAAGGTCCGACGCAGCTTCCGTTTGACTGCAGGAAGCTCCTGCACCAACTGGAAGCTGCGCCTTGGTTTTCAAACAGTTTTGGGAGTCGAACGGACTCCCAGAATGGATTCATTTCAAGAACCAAGGTACGACTGTATAGGGAAGCTGCGCAGGGTGGCTTGGGCTAACAAAATTATTAAGGAAACTTCTTTTTTGCTCCTGACTCTCCACACCCAGATCTGCTCCAGAGGCTTGAAGGAGCAGAGATTGTCTTCTTCTTTTTTGCGGAACGACACTCAGGGGGAGGATGAGAGGGGAGGTAGAGTTCTGTTGTGCTTGCAGATATTGTCCTGCTCATACGATGACTTCGTTGGATACAACCCACAATCGCCGAAAACAACCTTGTTTCTTATTAATAGCTATTTACTCCAGGAATGGGAAATCTTTCTCAGCCCGAGGTTGACACTGGCTTTTAGGGAGTCTCCTGGGGGCAGTATGATAGCGGTGGGCGGGGCCAGAACCAAAAGTGGGCGGAGCAACAGGTGCAACTCTACACTTTAGCCAAAAGGCTGCATTCCACCCACACAAAATCCAGGGTTTTCTATACTGTACTTGCCTCTCCTCATTTATGCAACCCAGAGCCATGATCATAATTCTAGAATGGTGGTGCCAAGGGCCAATTAGTGAGGTCTTAAAGGCCACATCCTGTCCCTGGGCCGAAGGTTCCCCACTCCGGAGTTAACTCAAAGAAATGTCTACGGATTAGCCCTTTGCCGTTATGTGAAGTGTGTATTGATGTTGTTGCAGCGAAGAGGACATGTACCGTGATGCGGAAGAAATAGAGAGAGAGAAAGTATTGCTTGTGTGTGGGACAGGCTCCTCAGGTACATTTCAGCGCTACGCATATAGAGCATGATATATTAGTTGAATTCTGTGTAAAGTAGAAGTCAGCAGCCTCTCGGTGAGCGTTGCCCTCAGGGGAGCTGCCTGCCACCTGCCAACCCCAGAGGAAATCACAGAACCTATAGCATCAGGACTTGGGGGGCAGTGGGACCGGAGCCTTGACTGCCCCCACCTTAACGCCTTGCAGCAAAATGAGTTGTAAAGTTTCACCCCAAACACAACCTCATTCCCAGCGGTAGTCTATTGCTGCCTCCTAGAGTAGGATTGGGTGATATATCAATATATCACCCAGTACCGGTTTGAACGTCTATATCGTGATACAGTGGAACCTCGGTTTTCGAGCGTCTCGGAAGCCGAACGATTCGGAACCCGAACGCTGAAAACCCGGAAGTGAATGGTTCCATTTTCGAACACGCCTCAGAAGTCGAACGGCTTCTGAGGCAAGTTTCTCCATATTCTCCATTGAAATTGCCAACCACCCGTTGCGCCTCAGTTGTTGAACTTTTCGGAAGTCGAACGGTCTTCTGGAATGGGTTACATTCGACCACGGAGGTTCCACTGTATCGGTTTCATAGCTTTTGATCTGGCAATATATTGCAAATCATGATGTGTGTTAGGGCTGGGCGATATTTCATCTAAAATCGGTTTGAAGTCTGTATCATGATATTGGTTTCATGATTTTTGACCTGCCAATCTATTACAAATCATGGTGTGTGAGTGTGCGCGCACGCTATGCAAAAATCACAATGTGGGAAAACTGTGAATCCAGCCTCTGCATAGCTCCATCCTTTTTTCAGACTTTGTGATATATCACTATATATTGCAATGTTTAGTTGCTGATTCAGGCGGATAGCCGTGTTGACCTGTCATAGTCATAATAAATAACAAGATGAAAGATGAAAAAATCATTTTTAATAATTCCAGTGGCACCTTAAAGATCAACTATGGGATGGTTATAGAAGATATGTTCAAAAATACAATAATAGTTTTCACTCCGTGCTAGCATTCGAGTGATAAAGGAACTAAAAGGAGGTGGACAACAATTAAGGATTTATTATGTTTTCAGAATGTATTGGAAAAATTATATAGAAAGGTTTATTGTTTTGTGTACATTCAAATGCAAGTTAAAATATATGCAAAGGGACTTGACAGGAAGTCAAAGTTGAAGAAAATATTTTGGAAGATAAAAAGGGAAAAAATATTTACTTTCATTATTATCATTTTGTGTGGGTGTCTGCACATATGTTTGTTTTTGTATGCAATGTTTGGGAGGAAATAAGACGGTAAATAACAAATAACAAACTAAATATTGATGTATGTAATTTTTATTTCTTAATTATATTTAGTGGTAGTATGAAAAAAATATAAATAAATAAAAGCTTTCAAGGTATGAGCTTTCATATGTAATACACACTTCCTCTCCTCTGATTAAGTGTGTATTACATACGAAAGCTCATACCTTGAAAGCTTTATATTTAGTTGATCTTTAAGGTGCCACTGGAATTATTTAAAAAGATTTCTTCATCTTTCATCTTGTTATTTATTATGATAATGTTTCGCTGGTGATACATCACGATGTTGAAAACCAGGTATCGCAGAAAGACTGCGATTAGCCTTTCCACGCAATTCCAACAAAGCGAGGTATGTAAAGCCAGGCTTTGCGTTGGAGGAAGCAAATATTAGACCAGAATAATCCTACAAGGGACAAGAGCAGTGTGGGTGGGCAGTCCTTCATCTCTACTTCAACCATTTATTTTCAAGGAAGATTTCCCTGCAGGTCTTGCCCCGCAACCCAGTAGTCCTGCACACACCTGTGAGTGCCTTTTGCTCGTCAGAAATAAGCGTGAGCTCTTTAGAGAAGACTTGATTAAATGTCAAAACGGAATAGATTGAAGAAGTTTAAGTAGTTTGTACCGAAGCTGATAAGCTTCCTGAGTGTCCTTCACCCAGTTTCAGGGGTCTTGCAGCCAAAGAGGCCTGCAATTTCCACAAATGTAAATACAGATTGGCTTTTTTTTTTGTAATGCAGACAAGAACTGTGCTTCTTTTGACTTTCCCCCACTAAAATGGATTCTCTTTTCCTAATTGCAATTCAGATTTTCCAGAAAATAAGCTAAGTGTTGAACCAGAAGTCGGCATCATGGATTATTGTCAAAAAGAATGGAGAGGAACCACCTCGCAGGCCAAATGTATAAGGAAGGTCTGATCTCATTTTCTTGCAATAGTCCATAGGCTTGTGTACAACAAAATCCTACCTGGTAGTGGGTGGATTTGATTTAAAATCACTAAGTCAGTAAGACTTGATTTAAATCATCTTTTTACAGAAAGACTCATTCTTGCTGGTATAACCTTAATATTTACAACCAGATGAGGGTTTCGTTTTTGGAATAATAAATTTTCAGAGTAGTTTTTACAGTTATATCAGAAATTACTGCTTTGGTTATACAGTGGTACCTCAGGTTACATACGCTTCAGGTTACAGACTCTGCTAACCCAGAAATAGTACCTCGGGTTAAGAACTTTGCTTCAGGATGAGAACAGAAATCGTGCGGTGGCGGCGCAGCAGCAGTGGAAGGCCCTATTAGCTAAAGTGGTGCTTCAGGTTAAGAACAGTTTCAGAAGTACGGACCTCCAGAACGAATTAAGGTCTTAACCCGAGGTACCACTGTACTGTTAGAAATACATAGACAAGTAATTATGAAATTAATGTGAGGTTTAATAAGTTAACTGTTTATATTTGGACAACTTTTCTGCTGTACTTTATTGGAAGGAGAAAAACAATCATTTCCTTAATAACAATTTAAACAACTTATTTAACTAAAACAATAACATTATAGCATATGTATCCATGTTTGTTAACTGCTGCAGTTAAATAAAAAAAAAACTTAGACTGAGTTTTAGCACACATGAAAAACTTAAAACAAATCCTTATTTCCTGACGAATAGCCTTTGGACTATAATGTAACTTAAATAGAAAACTATCTTTAGAAATATTTTTCCTCCAAAAGCATTTTATCTTAAAAATCTGATTTTAATTTAAAAAAATTAAAATCTGTTTTTTGTTTTGTTTGTTTTTTAAATCATTGATTTTTTTATCCACCCTGCCTGGAAGTAGACTCACTGACTACCGCAGATGTAAATTAGTTATAACTAAAGCCTATTGATTTTGATGGCCTACTCAAAGTATGGTTTGGTTGGCTACAACTCATATCTTTTTAAAATAAGTAAATAAATGGATACTGTATATCCTTTAGGTGTTGTATTTCACCTAAATATCCAATACCTAGACACTGATGTTTAGAATAGTTTCATTCTGTATATTTTTATTTGAAATATTTATAGGTTGCCTTTCTGAGCAGAATTCTCAAGGCTACTTACTCAAATAATAGCTACTACCACGTGAACAGTAAAAATTTCCAATTTAATCACGTTATTAATGAAAAGAACAATAGTACATATTGAGCCTGGAAATGAAGCCACCAGCCAAAAGCTGCACAGTAGTGAGACAGAATATAATCTGGGAGTAAGCTGCTGGAAAATAATAATAATAATAATAATAATAATAATAATAATAATAATAATACCCAACCCATCTGACTGGGCTGCCCCAACCGTACTGGGCAGCTTCCACATCAAACAGATGTCTTCTAAAAGTTGTACAGTTATTTATCTCCTTGGCACCTGAAGGGAGGGTGTTCCACAGGGTGGGCACCACTACTGAGAAGGCCCTCTGTCTGGTTCCCCATATCTTCACTTCTCGCAGTGAGGGAACTGCCATTCTTCAAGGCTTTTCTGAAAATCTTAAGTGCGTTAACTTCATGGAAGGCAACTAGAAGTGAGTTCCACAGTCCTGTGGTGACAAATGCCATCTGCCTCTTGCCCACAAAATTCACTGATACTGGTGCTTTGCAAACAAGAAGGGCCTCCATTAAGAAGCAGGCTGGTTGTTTGCGGATGCAGGTGGTCCTTCAAATAAATCTGACCCATGCTGTTTTGGGCTTTCCCATTTGGACGATAGGGCCATGATCTCAAACGCTGGACAAGTTAAGCTCCGGCGCCAAATTCAAAAGGAAGAACTGGGAGCGCACTTCTTGAATTTGGCATCCTTATCCTCTCCCCCTCTCTGCTTGAAAGATTAAAGCCAGCATGTTTCAGTGACCTCATTCTGAACCATCATGTGTTTCTGGGCCATCTTAAAAGGCAGCCCCATGTAGAACACATCGTAGTAGACTGTCTCGCCAGAGTGGTACATGCTCTGGTTATCTCCTGCTTGGACTACTGCAATGCTCTCTACGTGGGGCTACCTTTGAAGGTGACCTGGAAACCACAACTAATCCAGAATGCGACAGCTAGACTGGTGACTGGGAGCAGCAGCCGAGACCATATAACACTGGTCTTGAAAGACCTACACTGGCTCCCAGTACATTTCCGAGCACAATTCAAAGTGTTGCTGCTGACCTTTAAAGCCCTAAATGGCCTCGGTCCAGTATACCTGAAGGAGCGTCCCCACCCCCATCTTTCTGCCCGGACACTGAGGTCCAGCACCGAGGGCCTTCTGGCGGTTCCCTCGCTACGAGAAGCCAAGTTACAGGGAACCAGGCAGAGGGCCTTCTCGGTAGTGGCACCCGCTCTATGGAACGCCCTCCCACCAGATGTCAAAGAGAAAAACAACTACCAAACTTTTAGAAGACCTCTAAAGGCAGCCCTGTTTAGGGAAGCTTTTAATGTTTAATAGGTTATTGTATTTTAGTGTTCCGTTGGAAGCCGCCCAGAGTGGCTGGGGAAACCCAGCCAGATGGGCGGGGTATAAATAATAGGTAAAGGTAAAGGTACCCCTGCCCGTACGGGCCAGTCTTGACAGACTCTAGGGTTGTGCGCTCATCTCACTCTAGAGGCCAGGAGCCAGCGCTGTCCGCAGACACTTCCGGGTCACGTGGCCAGCGTGACGAAGCTGCTCCGGTGAACCGGCACCAGAGCAGCACACGGAAACGCCGTTTACCTTCCCGCTAGTAAGCGGTCCCTATTTATCTACTTGCATCCGGGGGTGCTTTCGAACTGCTAGGTTGGCAGGCGCTGGGACTGAGCAACGGGAGCGCACCCCGCCACGGGGATTCGAACCACCGACCATGCGATTGGCAAGTCCTTATTATTATTATTATTATTATTATTGCTGTTGTTGCTATAGTAGTAGTAGTCAAGCCTAAATGCAACGAGGGCATGGGTTACTGTGGCCTGATCTCTCCAGATAGAGTCACAGTATGTGCTTCGTCATCTGAGGGACTGCAACCCCATTGAGATTTCAAATTCTTGAGTGATGCTTCTATAAATCAGGCCTCATATTGGGCTCCTGCACGTGAAGCTTTTGATTTATTTATTTTGTTTGGGTGTGCGCATCTAATAGTAGTTTTTTGTTCTTCGCACAGGGCTACGAAGCAGTTTCACAGAAATTTATTTCGATAAGGAGAGTGCGAGGGGATAACTATTGCGCCGTTAGAGCGACGCTGTTTCAAGCCCTTAGCCAAGCTGTTCAGCTTCCTGACTGGCTGAAGAGAGAGGACATGATGTTGGTAGGTCGCCAACTTCCAGCACATCTCTTGATAGAACAAAACGATGGTAGCTTTTGCTTAGCAAGTATTTGTATAGGCTTGTTCGCCTGCCACAAATTATTTTTTAACTAATACCTGTGCATTCAGAGGAGAAAACACAAAAGCAAAAGGCACACGACACAAGTTTTCTTTCTCATTGTGCAGTATTCTAAAGTACCCATTCTGGTCAAAGAAACTCTGGCCAGCAGGAATTAGATGCCCTGATTAAATAAAAACATATCACTAGATAATGAGTTGCCTTGTCGAATTTCTGGTAAAGATTAACTTTTATCTTCTGAAAATTGTAGCTCCCGGAGAAACTGATGGAGAAATACGGCTGGATCGCGCAATGGCAGCTGAGGCAAAAATGGACCAGCAAAGCTGAAAACTTGGTGGATGAAATTAAAGACTGTTTAATGCTACTAAAAAGCAAGGTTTGACAAATTGTGCATTCTTAGCTCACCTTACTGTCAATTCCACATTTCTAACTATTGAAAACAAGCAATTGGGAGACTGGAATTAGCTGGGGACTAGAAGGCCGTCCAATGATCAAGGCGGCAATTTCTGCACATGCTGTAGAGGGAAGGACAGACATGGCCAAACCTGGCCCTCCAGATGTTTTCGGACTACAACTCCCATCATCCCTAACTAACAGGACCAGTGGTCAGGGATGATGGGAATTGTAGTCCCAAAACATCTGGAGTGCCTCTGCCTCTGCCTTGTGTGATATCTTCCGGAGAAGAGAAGGCTAAGGAGTAAACCTTACACCAGCCTTTCTCAACCTGTGGGTCCCCAGATGTTGTTGAACTACAACTCCCAACACCCCTAGCTAGCAAGGCCAGAGCTCAGGGATGATGGGAGTCGTAGTCCAACAGCATCTGGTGACCCACAGGTTGAGAAAGGCTGCCTTACACAAAGCCAGAGTGGAGTCCCTAAGATGGCTGGATGGCGCCTTGTTTTTGTGTTTTATTATTATTATTACTCCAGCATCTCGTGCAGCCAAGCTGGTGCCAAACGTATTGTTCTGCTTTCCTTTGGACCACATCAGCAAGGCCGAGAGGCGTGGGGCAGTTTTGTTGCCTGGGCAGCCCAGGACCTCCATACACACTGCCCAGGTTTGAGCCCCGGGGAGATCTCGCAGCAGTTTGGCTTCCCCGGCGGAGACACACTCTGTTGTCTCTTTGATTAAAACAACAGACGGCAGTTTTAATCACACCACTTCAGCAAGAATCAGTCCACACACTCAAACAGATTTTTCTGTGGAAATTACCCTTCTAGATCCTTTCCGGTGTTCACATGTTTGATGCGGGGAACAGATCATTCTGGTCCGTGTTGGTACAATATTTATTGTAATTCTTGTTACTGGTTGCTGTTTAATAGATATTTTGCTCATTTATGCTATGTTGGTGCAATGTTAAAAAGGTAAAGGGACCCCTGACCATTAGGCCCAGTCGTGGCCGACTCTGGGGTTGCAGTGCTCATCTCGGTTTATTGGCCGAGGGAGCCAGTGTACAGCTTCCGGGTCATGTGGTTAGCATGACTAAGCCGCTTCTGGAGAACCAGAGCAGCGCACAGAAACACCGTTTACCTTCCCGCCGGAGCGGTACCTATTTATCTACTTGCACTTTGACGTGCTTTCGAATTGCTAGGTTGGCAGGAGCAGGGACCGAGCAAAGGGAGCTCACCCTGTCACGGGGATTCGAACCGCCGACCTTCTGATCAGCAAGTCCTAGGCTCTGTGGCTTAACCCACAGCAATGTTAGTTATTATCTTTTGTGGCACTTTCTTTATGAATTTGATCTGCTCAGTCTAGTGCTTTAGTTTATTTCGGCTGAAATTTAATTTCATGTAGCTATTACTGCACGTGGTTTGGCACTCGGACTTGTTTGTGGAAGCGTGGCGTGCAGTTATGAAATCAAGGTTTTGAAATTAAGCCCTTGTCTTTTAACTCACCAATCAATCAAATAATCTCAGTTTTAAATGTTTATAGATTACCAACACCACACAGTATAGATACTCTTATGAGATGCTAGCAGCACTTTGCTACTTGGCATTGCTTGTGAATTCTAAGAAGCCTCAAAATCATGGCAGTTTTGGAAGGTTCATCCTTCCCTCTTGATTCAAAATGGTGTTCAGTCGTTTCCAAGTATAGAGAAGATCTATAGCTCCTTGATCTTCAGAACTGTCATCCAAAATTTAGGAACACTATCTTAAGAGGTGTCCAAATGCATAGTGAAAAACTTTCCAACATATTGAGTAGAAGAATAAAGGAAGTTTGAGAACCTGCAGTTGAATAGAAGCCCCACTAATTCTCCCCCCTGTCCCCCAGTAATCATTTATATTTTCTCTTTCATTCCCTGCTACACTAATACATCACAACCAAATGAAACCCCCTGGCCTGCAACCTCACCAGTTTAATGTCGCCCTTTATGGATAAAAGGGACGTAGGTGGCGCTGTGGGTTAAACTTGCCGATCAGAAGGTCGGTGGTTTGAATCCCTGTGACGGGGTGAGCTCCCGTTGCTAGGTCCCTGCTCCTGCCAACCTAGCGGTCCGAAAGCACGTCAAAGTGCAAGTAGATAAATAGGTACCACTCCGGCGAGAAGGTAAATGGTGTTTCCGTGCGCTGCTCTGGTTCGCCAGAAGTGGCTTTGTCATGCTGGCCACATGACCCGGAAGCTGTACGCCAGCTCCCTCGGCCTGTAAAGTGAGATGAGCGCTGCAACCCCAGAGTCATCAACGACTGGACCTAACGGTCAGGGGTCCCTTTACCTTTACCTTTATGGATAAAAGCTTTCACTGATGGTTTTAGAGATCTGAATCCAAGCTGTCCAGAAGGGATGCTGTATGCATTCTTTAGCGTTGTTTGCACTGGACTTTTATTTCCTGCTGTTATTCTTGCATTCCATTCATTCGTGTGTTTGCCTTTACAGTGGAAACGTATGAGTGAAATGAAGGCCTTCGCTGAGAGGCAAGCGGCTTGCGATGAGCTTTTTAGAAGTGAGGAGGATGAATACAAACTCTACGAAGCTGTGAAATTTCTCATGCTCAATACGGCAATCCATTTGTACGAAGACAATGAGAAGGGGAAGGAGGTCCCCGTTTTTGCCTGGCTTCTCTTTGCCCGGGATACATCCAGCAATCCTTCACAGCTGATGGAAAACCACTTGAATCAACTCGGTCACACGGGAGGCCTTGAACAAGTAAGTTCCTCACGTTCAACGGAAACGGGATCTAACATTCATTCCCTGCTGTTCATTAGGAGCAGGGGAAGCAGATGTTGATTTGGTGCAGTCCAGAACTCAACCTGTATAGGCCCAGGCAGGACCTGCCAAGCAAAGTAGCAGGGAACCTCAAGAGAATCTCAAGAGAATTCTCAAGAGAATGACTTTGATGTTTCTCCTAATGCATAACCGAAATTTGTGGCCTTGCAATTTCCTCTCTCCTTTGGGCGTTCTCCTTAAGCAGCGGTTGGCCGGCTATCGGTCAGGGATGCTGAAGGTTGCATCCTGCACTGAGAAGCAGGGATTGGACCAGAAGACCTCCAAGGTCCTTGCCAGCTACATGGATCACTGAAAAAACAAATCCAGTGCTTAGACTGGCATTTCCCTCTGAGTATATAACTACAGGTGAAACTCAAAAAATTAGAATATCAGAATATTCATCAGCCGTAATCATCACAATTATAACAAATTACGCCATAATCATCACAATTGTAACAAATAAAGGCTTGACATATCTCGCTTTGCATGTCATGAGTTTATCTCATATATTAAAGGTAAAGGGGCCCCTGACCATTAGGTCCAGTCGTGGCTGACTCTGGGGTTGCAGCGCTCATCTCGCTTTATTGGCCGAGGGAGCCAGCGTACAGCTTCTGGGTCATGTGGCCAGCATGACTAAGCCGCTTCTGGAGAACCAGAGCAGCGCACAGAAACGCCGTTTACCTTCACACAGGAGTGGTACCTATTTATCTACTTGCATTTTGATGTGCTTTCGAACTGCTAGGTTGGCAGGAGCAGGGACTGAGCAACGGGAGCTTACCCCATCATGGGGATTCGAACCGCCGACCTTCTGATCGGCAAGTCCTAGGCTTTGTGGTTTAACCCACAGCGCCACCCGCGTCCCACATATATTAGTTTCACCTTTTAAGTTGAATTACTGAAATAAATGAATTTTTCCATGTTATTCTAATTTTTTGAGTTTCACCTGTACTCAGCAAGCTGCTACACAAAACAGCAGGGGCCCTGATCCAACAGAACATATGTGCAGCAGCCAACCTGCTCACACCTTGTATGTGCAAGAGAAGCTGGAATCTTGCTGATACGTTGTTTGGCAAAGAAAGAGGAGCATGGAGCAGAACTGAATAAATGCATAACTGCACACAGTATTCTCCTGTGCAGCTGATGGGCTGAAAGCATGGGCGTAGTCAGGACTTTTGTTGGCGGGGAAGACTCAGTTAGTTAAGTATTTCAATTATTTTACTTGATCTGTGGGGAGGGGGAGCAGCTGCCCTCCCATGTCTTCTTCGTCTTTTTAAAAAATATATATATTTATTTGGTTTTTCAAATTACGGTTTAACAATCACATATCCAACATACAACATCAAGTCAAGATTCCGTAGAATCTCCTGGACTTCCTTCCTCTCCTTTGTGGGTCCTATTGTTAATCATTTCCTCCTGCATCTTTCATAATAATCCAAATCTTTTACATCTCCATTATATCCAAAATTCACTATTAAACTACAAGTGTTATTTCAACCCTACTAACAATTTTAACTGTTTACAATGGTTTTTAAGATAAATTATAAATTTTCCCCATTCTTTATTAAAGTTTTGGGCTCCTGATTTCTGATTCTTCCGCTCATTTTGGCCATTTCATCATCTTTTAACTTGGCCATGTAGACCATGGTCCTATGGACCAGGCTGGGAGTTGTGTTCTCTTTGCTTGTATCGTTTCCCACCTAGATTGGGGTGGGTGTCTAGGCCTATTTCCAGAATAAAGGTAAAGGTAAAGGGACCCCTGACTATTAGGTGCAGTCGTGACCGACTCTGGGGTTGCGGCGCTCATCTCACTTTATTGGCCGAGGGAGCTGGCGTACAGCTTCCGGGTCATGTGGCCAGCATGACTAAGCCACTTCTGGCAAACCAGAGCAGCGCACGGAAATGCCGTTTACCTTCCCGCCAGAGCGGTACCTATTTATCTACTTGCACTTGATGTGTTTTGAACTGCTAGGTGGGCAGAAGCAGGGACCGAGCAACGGGAGCTCACCCCGTCGCAGGGATTCGAACCGCCGACCTTCTGATCGGCAAGTCCTAGGCTTTGTGGTTTAACCCACAGCGCCACCCGCATCCCAGAATACATTTCTAGAATGCATTTGGCCAAATCGGTTATTTGTCTTTTTAAATAATGCAGGCAAGTTTTTTTCACTTTCTCCTCTCGATACCTAGGTGGAGATGTTTCTCCTGGCTTACGCCTTGCAACACACCATCCAGGTCTATCGACTCTATAAGTACAACACAGATGAATTCATCACTCTTTACCCCAACGACCCAGAAGAGGCCTGGCCAATTGTAACCCTTATAACTGAAGATGACAGACATTATAATATTCCTGCTCGAGTGTGCGAAGAGACTAGTTTGTAAAAAAAACAAAAAACAAACAGGTGCGTAAATGGAATAAACAACTTAAAAACAAATCTTCTTAGTTTCCGGTTTATTTTTTTTCCAGCAAAGGCAGTTAAATTTTCAATACTTTGGTGCAAACTTCTGAAATTAAAAGCCTCATACAATGTAGTTCCAAGTTTTTTTGTTTCACCAATAGGCAAAAATAGTTTGTTCTGTCTATTGGATAAATTTCTAAAAAAGCTTAATTTTTAACCAAGATTCTTTTCCATGGGAAGCGATGATGCCCACTTCAAATGCAAGACATGTTGATTTCTGAAACAGGATTTGCCATACGAATGAAGACACCGAAAAAATCAACTCCGAACTCACTTTTGCAATATTTGTGACCAAGGCCAGGAGATCCAAGTACAGAAGCAGTTTCTGCCCAGAGATGCTCCTACTGGATCTGGAGGCGCATGGTGCGTGTCAATTTGCACACATGGTCTCAAGACAGCATCCCCATTTGCACTGATAATGATAATCATGATTTTATTATTTAATACCTCGCCCATCTGGCTGGGTTGCCCCAGCCACTGTAGGTGTGGCTTACGAGTTTGCATTTGCAATGCAGATGAGAATACGCATCTCCAAGCCTCTTTTCCCAAGCAATGGACGTGTTGCTGCGTGCAACCATGTATCTGGAGTGGAGCCATTATGTGCAACTTTAAGAGGTTGGTTGAAACATTGGTATGTTTTTCGTCCACAGGACACAGCTGCTGCAGTGACCTTAAGACCTTCTACGAGAAATGCAACAGGAAGCTTAGCGCCGATTACTCTTAATCCTCTTCAGGGTTATTTTAACCCCCACATTTGCAGGCACAGAAAGGCCAGAGCTGCCCTGTTTTTACTGAACAATAATTATACATACTATATCAACCTTCTGAGAAAAATACAAAACATTAAACAAAGCCAGAGAGACTTGCGAACTACCCAGCCTAAAATGAACTTATAATGTCTGGTTTCAATAGATTTTTCAAATGCTTAACTCAGTCAAGCAAATCAGTCTCAAGCTTAAGCCAATAAAGAGTATTCTGTATAAGATTATTAATATACGTATCAAGACTTTGAGATTAGACCACTGAAGAAGCCCGGAAAACTACCTTGGGAGTGAGCTACCTGCAAGCTCCAGTTTAAGGGCCCCATCGGGGGTGAACAGCGGCCTCTTGATTACTTGGACTGCCAGGGCGAAACAGGTGCAAAACGCCGGCACCCTGTCGTCTACAACTTCATTGTCTACAACTTTATTAACATCTATCTACAACTACTGGGACGCGTGTGGCACCGTGGGTTAAACCACAGAGCCTAGGACTTGCCAATCAGAAGGTCGGTGGTTCGAATCCCTGTCATGGGGTGAGCTCCCGTTACTCAGTCCCAGCTCCCGCCAACCTAGCAGTTTAAAAGCATGTCAAAGTGCAAGTAGATAAATAGGTACCACTCTGGTGGGAAGGTAAATGGTGTTTCTGTGCGCTGCTCTGGTTTGCCAGAAGCGGCTAAGTCATGCTGGCCCCATGACCCGGAAGCTGTACACTGGCTCCCTCGGCCAATAAAGCGAGATGAGCACCACAACCCCAGAGTCGGCCACGACTGGACCTAATGGCCAGGAGTCCCTTTACATTTTCCTTTTCCAACTCTACTAGCATCTCTCGGTATTGTGAATATCACCGAACTTACCTTTAGTTGGTATCTTCATGAACTTATTTAAAGACTTGAGTTAAGCATTTGAAAAATCTATTGAAACCAGACATTATAAGTTCATTTTAGGCTGGGTAGTTCGCAAGTCTCTCTGGCTTTGTTTAATGTTTTGTATTTTTCTCAGAAGGTTGATAAAGTATGTATAATTATTGTTCTGTGTATATTAATCGCCAACGTGTTGCATGAGTCTATCAGCAGCACAGGTTGCATTTTTCTAGCACTGTTTTTACTGAAGGCAGAAAAATAAAATATAAACTGAAAGGGAGAAGCATAGCAACATCAATGCATCTCAGCTATGGACCACTGAGTGCCCCAAACTGCTGTTGTCAGAGATAGTCGTAACGGCTTGCTCCTCCATATTCCCAGAAGTAGAATTATAGAATTGCAGAGTTGGAAGTCAACTAGTCCAAGCCTTGCAGTGCACGTATCCTGCCCACAGCTGTCCCTGGGTGGGCTCGAACCACCAACCTTCTGGCTCACATAGGCTCAAATAGCTTGGTGTGACTAATCCATTAAACGGTATGGATTTATAAAGAATAAAAGATAAAGGGACCCCTGACCATTAGGTCCAGTCATGATCAACTCTGGGGTTGCGGCGCTCATCTCGCTTTATTGGCCGAGGGAGCCGGCGTACAGCTTCCAGGTCATGTGGCCAGCATGACTAAGCCGCTTCTGGAGAACCAGAGCAGCGCACGGAAACGCCGTTTACCTTCCCGCCGGAGTGGTACCTATTTATCTACTTGCACTTTGATGTGCTTTCGAACTGCTAGGTGGGCAGGAGCAGGGACCGAGCAATGGGAGCTCACCCCGTTGCAGAGATTCGAACTGCTGACCTTCTGATCAGCAAGTCCTAGGCTCTGTGGTTGAACCCACAGCGCCACCCGCGTCCCATTTTAAGGAATACTTGGGGTCAAATTTGAGTTCTCACCCTGCAAGAACAACGTAGGCTTCGTATTGTGCCTTTGAAATGCAAATCTCAATCCCTTACTGTATGTGGAAGCCACCATTTCCTTACTATCAAGGAGATGCATTTGCTGAACTCCCCGTTTCGGCCACTAATTGCCGTTTTCCCGTCTAGGAAATCAGCATGTTATAATGAATATTTGTAAACGTATTTTCCACAATGGGCTGCCATCCAAACTCTCATGTCCTGTGAAGTCTGGTAGGCACTGGTGGATCCATCTATTGCCTGTTGTGCAAATCCCAGGCAGATGGGGAGAACTAACAATCACTAAACTGGTTCTTCATTTTTCAAAGGCCTTGCCTAATTTTTTGCCTATATACCGGTTACACAAGAGACTTAGAAGTAATAATAATAATAATTTATTATTTATACCCCGCCCATCTGGCTGGGTTTCCCCAGCCACTATGGGCAGCTTCCAACAAAATATTAAAATACAACAATCTGTTAAACGTTAAAAGCTTCCCTAAACAGGGCTGCCTTGTAAAAGTCTGGCAGTTGTTTTTCTCTTTGACATCTGGTGGGAGGGCGTTCCACACGGTGGGTGCCACTACCGAGAAGGACCTCTGCCTGGTTCCCTGCAATTTGGCTTTTCGCAGCGAGGGAACTGCCAGAAGGCCCTCAGCACTGGACCTCAGTGTCCAGGCAGAATGATGGGGGTTTTGTAATCTGCCTGGACTTGGGGGACTCAGTCCTTTGCGATGCTGGACAGCAAAAGCCACCTTCCTCCCCATTTTCTATATCATAATCCAAAAAGTTAAATGTCTGAATTTTGATGTAGACTTTAGTCATTTCATTAGGCTGAAGGAGAGGGAGAGAAGGTTACAAGGAGTTTCCACAGAATCTGAGGACGACTCTCTTTCCTTCAAGGTTTTTAAACAAAAGTTGGATGGTCATCTGTCATGTATGATTTAGTTTAGTTGCCTGCACTGCAGAGGGTTGGACTAGATGACCCTCGGTGTCCCTTCCAACTCTACAATTCTATCTCATAAATGGTGGTATAGTTGTCACTTTATAATGCAATAGACTCATTGGACAGGTGTGTGTGTAACTCAGTTATCAGCTACTGGAGTTTTGGTACGTTCATCGTGACGGAGTTAATGGAGACTCTTTCTCTCTGAAAGTGTCTCCTTCCATAACAGTAAATTTCACTGAATTTGGGGGGCTGGTTGATGTAAAGCCAAAGCCTTCCATCATGTCACCCTTGCTATTTTATGTGACTAAGTAGTAATCCTGATTCATATCCCACTGATTTAAGATGCTGCAGCCGTTGGTAGGGCTTCCTTCTTCCATATATCACAAGCCCAGAGAACATAAGTCTGTGGCTGGTCGTGGACCTTAGTTGCTGAATAGCGTGGCGAGATTGAAAGCGGATCTCTTTCCCCCCCTGAAAAGGTCATTATCAAAGCAATCTTAGTTCTACCATTAGTGCTGGCTTGTTCATGATAGATTGGCAGCGAATGCGTTTCTGGTTTAATTGCTGTAGTACAGAAGCGTGAATTTATTGTACTCTGTCGTTCCCCTTCTCTATAGGAACAAATTATACGCAGAGAAGTGTTGCTGAAAGAGGAACAAGAATTGTAATTCCAGTTAACCATGAGATGGAACTATAGCATTTGATGCTCAGTTCTACCAATATTTCCCTCATGCGTGCATGTTAAAAGCAAATACTTTAACTCCACCATTGTCCAAATAAATAAAAATGAAAAAATTGCCCAATAGCACCTTAGAGTCCAACTATGATAGTTTTCTCCCACTATATTTAAGGGTCTGGTGACTTCTGTTTCAGTATATCTGAAGAAGTGTGCATGCACACAAAAGCTTATACCCAGAACTAACTTACTTGGTCTCTAAGGTGCTACTGGACAATTTTTATTTATTTCGTTTGCGTCAGACCAACACGGCTACCTACCTGAATACACCATTGTCTGCATGCTTGCAGGATGAAGGCTGTCAATCCCAATTCCCTCAAGGGCAGGTATAGGCAAACTTGGCTCTCCAGATGTTTTTGAGACTACAATTCCCATCATCCCTGACCACTGGTCCTGTTAGCTAGGGATGATGGGAGTTGTAAGCCAAAAACATCTGGAGGGCCAAGCTCATGGGTATTGTATTTTCTAAGCATAGCAAGTACTGGCTTTAGCAAAGCTATGTGTTTGTGACTGTATATGTGTGGCCTTTGCTAGCAACTTGGAGGAGACCACTTGGAGCAGGATATGAATCTCTAGATTTTAAACGGAGCACTTTACAATAAGGCAGAATGTGGGTTAAATTTACTTCCCCTTGAGACTTGAAGCTTAATTTAAAATTACTTAATATGTATTATCTCCATCATTTCTCTTCCATCCAAGGCTTGAGATAGCTAAGCCACCAAAGTGT